GCGAGGTAAGCCAAAAGTGGTAGATGCCAACAGGCTTTGGCGTTATCATGGACCAGGACATTTCAGTTAGAAAGAAGTGAACAATGGAACAAATGACGCTGCTGAAGACGTGTTACCTGAAAAAGCCACTGTCGAAAAAGAAACTCTACCCTTTTTTGAGAAGGGGAAACAGTGAAGCCGTTATTGAAGTTACTACCATTGATGTGACTGTTACCGATAATGGAACATTTCCTGATGGAGCAGATGAACCCCACGTGAAGCAGAAGCCAATTAGACAGAGACCAGTACGGAAGAAGATACATCCTGTAAAATTAAAAGACTTTGTTGTATTTTAATTTTGTGTTTGTAAATTCTGTACATTTAACTGAGTTATTGTTAATTATCTATTGGTTTAATGTAAGTGGCCATTGTTCGGGATGAACAATACTAAGGAAGGGGCAGTGTTAGGACAGCAGAAGTCACGCGACGGTGGGAGCATGAGCGCTGGAGTTTCTAGAAGAATCATGAATTTTCCTGGCAACTCTAGTTTGTTCGAGGCGTCCTCTTTTTTCTAGTATATAAGCCTGGCAAAAAAAGCCAGCGAGATTGGCAGATAGATTGAAGAGATAAATAATTGAGTCAAGCGAACAATTGGCACCGTAAGTTAAGTGTGTGAATCACTGTGATTTATAGTGTGTGTCATAAAGGTTGTTAAGTTTAAAGTGACTGTGGAAATTCTGTGTACTAAAAAGTTGTATCAAGAAAGAATAAACAAGTTTTAATTAAGGAAGGACTTGTATCGCTGAAGTTCCTCGGAAAGAATTTATTCCGGAAATTAACAGTTTTGTGTCATTTTTCATAGCATCCACCCCACATTTTTAAGTTCATAACCCCGACAAAGGAAGGGTACCTAATCTTGTCTGAAATAAATAACCAATTTCCAGGTGGACAAAATGAATTTTAGTTAGCTTTATAAATCAGATTGATTCCGCATTTTTATATCAAGAATAGTTTCAATATTAACTCTGCATAATTTACAAAAATACACCTTGATAGTACAATATTTCTGTACACAAGTTACACTTTACAAATTACAGGTCCGTCATTTCTTGACGGCGATGGTTTTAGGAACGTAAGGCAGCTAGGTTGATTCAGATGTACTTCGAATACAGTTTTAACAATCCAGTGATCATTATATGTTATAACATAGATTGATCGATTTATTTCATATATATAGGTATTGCAGCTGTTTTATGTTGTTCACTTTATTGACGGTATTTAGTATGGTAAAAGCCCGTTTTAAATCTGAAATTGAAAAGGAGCTTTTAGTTTTACTACCGTTCGAGTGTTCTGCAGCAACTAAAAATTAAAAAAACGACAAATGTCATGAATTGTTTACACATGTTACGAAAAGAGAAATTTCATCTCATTCTGTTAGTCCTCTTTTTGCATTCTCTAGTGTCAATATTGATACTTCACCGGTATAGTGCGTGGAATTTCAGCAGAAGTAGTAGGAATGAATTCACGTAAGGAAATGTGTAAATTTAGTATGTAAATTTTATCAACTTTGTAATGATGCATTAGACATCTCGAACCTAATCATAATGGCAGTGTTATTTCATCAGAAAACCTCGTCAAATCTGTTTTAAATTAAAACTTAACTGTTTAGAAGAAACATGAAAACTAGTTTCGTAATGTCAAGTATAAACCCAATTTCATTTTGAAAACAAGGTTTATAAGTAAGCTGTGAATTTTTTTAAAGCCTACAAGTTACTGTTGGTGTTATATCAACATTGTAAGAAAAAATTAAAAAGAATTAGAAATTAGAATGAGGTTTTGTGTTAAGTTTTAATTACAAAAAAGCTAAAAAACCAAAGAAACTAATACAAACCTAATATTAAGTAATGATAGGTCTAATAATAATGAAAAAATCATAATAGTACTACTAGACAAACAATTGCATATGTTATTTTTTTAACATTACTCATAATTAGACCATTTGGTGCTTTCCAGATTTCAGATTGGAAAAATGTGTAAAAATAAATAAAAGGCCTTAATCCTATTGATTTTCTGGATTATATTAATTCTTATAAACTGCAAATCAACATCACCTCTGAGTCTTACCCTTCTTTTCTCAATAGGAAATAAGTTAAATCTGAATTGATCTGTATGAGATAACTCTTTTATCTCTAGAATCATCCTAGTAATCTTGCTCTGAACCCTTCCAATAACTGTATAAGTCAATATTTTTTTCTTACTTAAGAACAAAACTCTATACAGTGTAAGGGAGTCCTAATTAGTGATTTGTTTAGAGATAATTACCTGTTTTGACTTGTAATCATTGTCTATAAATATAAACAAGTCCATTGAAACATTCCATGTGAAATAAACTTAATCTTGTTGTTTGTCTAAATTATGTCTAATGTGAAGAGTATGCTGTACATCCTTCTACAGTGGGGCAAATTGCCCAATGTTAAATTTTAAGCAATATTAGATTGTGTCATAAAAATAATAACTGAGTTTATTTTTTCTACAGAGAAAACTAATTATTAACAGTTAAATATCTGGCTTTCAAGAATATAAAAGTTACTGGAGAAATAAATCAGTTGAAGTCAAAGCTATAAGAATGATATAAAAATGTAAAGCGGGTTGACCTGTTTTCCATTTATGTTTAGTCTTTAGACCAGATTAAATACAGATGTAGTTTAAATCTATTACCTGTAATATTTATGCTTGTATTTACAATTTAAACACATTAGTAGAGGTTGGAGAAGGCTATTTTTATTGTATGATGGTTGGATGGGAGAAAGCAAAAGTTTGTTATTAATGGAGTCCATTCATTCTGTATCCTTGTTAATAGTGGAGTAGCACTTTCTTATTTACATGAATGGTATTGATAGGGGCATATTTAGTAAATTAGTATGTAATTTTTACATAAAATTAATCTCTTGGTTATTTCTCACCATATTGATGACATTATATTAATCTACTACAGAATGACTTTGATCAATTGGAAAATTGCACAAGTATTTGGCAATTGACTTTTAATTATAGTAATTGCAGGGTAATGCATTTGGGTTATCATAATTTGGATCAATTTTAGTAAAGATGGGAACCATATCGGTAGTGTGATTGAAGAAAATGATTGTGGCACGGTGATGAATAAATCACTCAAGTCTTTGAAACAGTACTGTATTCTTGAAGTAAAGTTAATAGGATTTTAGGGTGTATTTATAGACATATTAATTACAAGTTAAAAGAGGTTATTATCTACACAAATCACTAGTTAGATTTCAGTAGAATACTGTATACAGTTTTGTTCTCTGTATCTTTGAAAGAATATATTGACTTGCTGGAGGGGTTCATAGGAGGGTTAATAGGATGATTCCAGTGATGAAAGGGTTATCTTATGGGGATGAGTTATGATCTCCTGAGGAAAGAATGGTAAGATGTGGTCTTATTGAAGTTTATGAGATTATCATGAAGATTCATAAGATTAAGGCCTCTAATTTCTCTTTGGTTATATTCTGATGATAATATGATGAGAGGACGTAAGCTTGGTAGTTGGGAAAGATAGACTAGGCTCCAGTTAGGGCAATTTTACTTTTCTCTCTTTTTCTGATAAGATGATTGTAGTTAATTGAATGAGTTGTGGCAAGCAGATCTGGACACCAGCTCTTTTCAGTTGTTCAAGAGAGGAACTGATGATTTTCTGAAGGAGTAAAGGTTGTGTTATGTAAAGGTAGAACAGACCTAGAAGTATAAACATTTGTTGATGAAACATTATCTTATTACAAGTAAGATTCCAGAAATATGTTACTCAATCATAATGACCAAAAAAAATGCTTTTATTGGATAGAAATTTTTATGATAACTATGATAAAGTAAAATTAACAAGTATAATTTATACCATATCTTATCATCAGGTAGTGTTTTTATTAGAAAAATATAGTGAAAACATACATGATGAATATTATGACAAAAGAACAGGTACTAACAACATGGATAATACTGAAAGACTTATGCAGAATACAGTAAATATTGTTGGTGATAAATACATAATGTTTATAAATAACTGCAAGATTATAAATAATTTATAACCCATTATTACAAATGTTTAAAAGTTGTAATAGAAATCATAAAATATTGTGGTTTACAAAAGCTTTGAAGGATTTTTGTTTAAAGATAAACAAAGAGTACTAAAAGACTATATGTTATAAAAGTAACTTGGACAAAAATAATAGTTTCAAAAGGAACTTGGATTGTATTGAATAAGTTAATAAGTCTAAAGAAAAAAGCACTTAAATTTTTTTGTTTCATAGAAAATAAGTAATAATGAAATGAATACTGTAAAAATAGAGTATATTAACAGGCTGAAGAAATAAATCTACATGAAAATTCACATCTGTCCTATTTACTGAGCCTCCCAGTGGCATAGCGGTAAGTGTGAAGACGTATATTACTAAAATGTAGGTTTTGATACTTGTGGTAAGCACTGCACAGATAACCCATTGTAAGTGTGAAGACGTATATTACTAAAATCTAGGTCTTGATACTTGTGGTAAGCACTGCACGGATAACCCATTGTATAGTTTTGTGCTTAACTACAAATAAGCTGATTTTTAATGATTACAACAAGGGTGGTGTATTTGTTGAAAGGAGGAGAAATCCACTGTATACTTGAAATAAAAGCTCAGAGACACAGGTTTTTGATTGGATTATTTTGTTTTCTTCACTTTATAACAAAATTCTGACCACTTGTATGGTCATCATCAGATCAATGAACAACAATTTATCTGGTGATAATCACATGAGTGATTAAAACATTGTTATAAATTTAAAGAAATAAAATAACACACTCATAAAATTGTCTCTCTGGACTTATTTATGAGTGGTGTGTCAATATACTATGCATTTCTGTCTACTTGTACTGCAAAGGTCCATGAATTCTGTCTTGCTACATGTTATGACTCATAAAGAAGAGCCAGAATGGCTGTTCATGTTCTTTCCCTGAGAATCAACAACAGTGTAAGGAAAACACAGATTACTGAGGATTAACAACACCGTGGTGTGGCATCTGGTGATTGTAAGACCATAGAGAGGGGGGAAGCCTGTATAGAACTCCCAGACTTACGCCAGCCAGAGTAACTCTGATTTAAGCCACTCAAGAATATCAGAGGAAGATTGGAGGTGCCATTGTTGGACAATATCCAATAACCAGAGCTATATCACCAGCAGTTGAGACAGCATGTACCGATTACTGCTGAGATAGCCATGGACCATGGAGGAGCTTGGGGTCAAGCAAAACTCATGGATGAGCTTACGAACACACCATGTAGTTCTGCCACTCTAGAGTAGGGCCTACCACTTGTTAGAATGTTGGAATCTCTGATAGCTCCTACCACACTATGCCCATGATGTTGATGACATTTCAGTTAGGGGATGGCTGGGAAGTCTAGAAGGAATGCATCTGGCCATGATCATAGTTCATCATGAGAAGTTCCTAGGACTATTATGGCAGTTTCTATCATGATGCAGTATGAAATGGTAACTTCAAGCGAGTCACAAGAGACAAAGAAGCCTGAAGTGACAGCTGCAGTGACTTTACCTCAGACGAATTGTCCTACCCAGGCACCCACATTGTATCAGTTTCAAACCCAGCTGATGGTCAACCAACCATCCAAACATTCCAGTATTGCAATGCAGCCATACTGATATCTGGTAAACAGGCCTGGCTATGCTGGTCCTCCCATGGTTAATATGCTGCATCCTCTGCCTGTGCAAGAGTGTTACCCTGGAAGGGAGGAGCAAAGAACGTGCTTTGCCTGTGAAGTGTTGGGTCACTATGTTGGTCCTCCCATGGTTAATATACTACATCCTATGCCTGTGCAAGAGTGTTACCCTGGAAGGGAGGAGCAAAGAACGTGCTTTGCCTGTGAAGTGTTGGGTCACTATGCTGGTCCTCCCATGGTTAATATACTACATCCTATGCCTGTGCAAGAATGTTACCCTGGAAGGGAGGAGCAAAGAACGTGCTTTGCCTGTGAAGTGTTGGATCACTTTCGAATGAACTGCTTATACTTTGTTGAGCAGCAAAGTAGGCAAGGCTATGACTTTCAACCGATGGTACAGGTACAGGAGAGTCAAAAGTAGGCAATGAATATTGCTGCTGTAGTTCTGGGAAATTAGAGAAGTCCATGTCAGTCCTGGCCACTGACTTGGTGAGTGCAACAAAAAAAACCATCAAAAAGTGTGGTGGTCAATCTAAATCTCAGAGTTAGATGGATTTTAGCATGTGCCTATCATACTACAAAGGTGAAAGAATTCCTGGTTGATACAGGAGTAGCCAGACTGTGGAGCTTACCTGTGAGTTCTGCCTGTGCATCTGATGTAAGTGAACTCTCTGTATCAGTTATTGGGCTAGTCCTGAGAACCCCAAGAACCAGGTATTCCCTATTGACCTTTGACAGCCCATCTTGTATTTACTGCTACCGGAAATGGAAATGTTCTGGAGCCAACCTTGCTT